GCGTGTAGGGAGTGAGTGGATGACAGGGAGACACAGAACACCCCGGCCTACCCGGCTCTGACATTTTAAACAAATTACTTCAGTTCTGCAGACCTCCCTTTCTTTTCAGCACCCTGACGCTTCCTAGTTCCATTCTGCCACTGAGATTCAGGTCAGCGATGGCGAGAATTGTTCCTTATGCACAGAGACGTGGTGTAGGATTTTCATTTATGCTCTTTTGCTAACCACTGCAATGTGATCTTCTGTAATTTGCTATTGTAAATTTTTTTTTCAGCCAGGCGTTGGTGGCGCATGCCTTTTATCCCAGCACTCAGGAGGCAGAGGCAGGCTGATCTCTGTGAGTTCGAGACCAGCCTGGTCTACCGAGCGAGTTTCAGGACAACCTCCAAAACAATACATAGAAACCCTGCCTCGAAAAACCAAAAAAAATTTTTTTCTTGGAGGTGGAAGGTTGGTTCTTCGTTCCAAAGTGCATACTGCTCTTGCAGAAGACCTGGGCTCCCAGAACCCACCTGTTAACTCTGGTTCTGTGAATCTGCTGTCCTCTTCTGGCCGCCATTGGTACTGCATGCATGAGGTGGGCATACATACATTGCAGGCAAACACTCATACACATAACTTTAAAAAAAATCCTTTTATGATTAAAAAAAATCATGCTTTAGTGGGGAAAACAGGCTCCATCTTCTTTGATGATCCATGACCATCACCAGTAAGGAGCAGGTGGGTTTTGCCCACCTCAAGAGATTAAACCCCGAAAAGGATTCAAGATCATTTACTTAACAGTGTAGCTAAAAATATACAATCTGAACCCAATCATGCAGAAACATCAAGCAAGCTCACATGGAGGGGAATTCTGTAAAAGTCTGTGTGGACAAGACTACCGCACACAGAAATGTGATACTGAACTTAGATCCCATATGGAAGAAAATTCTGTACGGGACAGTTTTTTTTGGGGGGGGGTTTGGTTTTTACGAGACAGGGTTTCTCTGTATTGTTTTGGAGGCTGTCGGTCCAGCCCGGCCTCGAACTCACAGAGATCCTCCCGCCTCTGCCTCCCGAGTGCTGGGATTAAAGGCGTGCGCCACCACCGCCCGGCTGTATGGGACAGTTTTGAGACAATCGATAAAGACGGCATGGATAGTACAGCAATGGTGTCGATATCGAGTGTCCCCTCTTTTGTAATTGTACTGCTGATCTGTATCACATGTCCTTGTTCTTAGGGTATACATATTCCAGATATAACGGGAAAAGAGGCGTGACATGTGAAGGGTTTCAAATGAAAGCAGAACAGTCTATTGAGAAACACAAGTTAAGAGATAAAATGTGTCAGGTGGTTATTTTGTGAATCTTAATAGAGAGCATATGTGAAGTCTTCATCTTTTTGGCTTTTTTTTTTTTGCAAATTTTCTGTTTGACATTGGTTTAAAATGAGAAAGAGGTTATGTGTGTGTGAGTGCAGTGCCCGCAGAGACCAGGAGGGGGCGCTAGATTCCCCTGAAGCTGGCGTCCCAGGTGTGTGAGGGCTGCCTGACGTGGGTAATGGGAACCAAGCCCACGCCCTTGGCAAGGTCAGAAAGTGCTCTTAATTGCTCCCAACCCCTGAAGATGAACAGCTTTAAGAAATAACATAATTTGGGGCTGGAGAGATGTCTCAGCGGTTAAGAGCACTGACTGTTCTTCCAGAGGTCCTGAGTTCAATTCCCAGCAACCACATGGTGGCTCACAACCATCTGTAATGAGATCTGGTGCCCTCTGCTGGCCTGCAGGCAGAAGGCTGTATACATAATAAATAAAAATATTTTTAAAAAGGAAATAACACATCTCATTGCATGCAGATTTACGATGAAGAAAAATAAATCAGTTGCAGTCCCACCGTGTGGGACTACCGTAAAATTTCCCCACTTCTCTGCCCCTCTTCCTGTCTCTGCAAAAAAAAAAAAAAAAAAAGGAAAGAAAAATGGATGCAAATGACGAGCCTTCATTTCTCTTCCCAGGGGTCTTAGACCGGGGTCTTAGAGTGCCTGGGAAATGGGGCTTCCACGTGGGGTGTGTGTGGGGTGTGTGTGGGCGGCACACAGTGCATGCTGGGAGCAGTTGAGGGGATGAGCGACCATCAGGGTGGCGTGGGGACGGCGTGGCAGCTGGGACAGGAAGCATTGGTCGCATTGCCTCTGCCGTCGTCGTCGGGAGACAGGAAGAGATGGATTGCGCGTGCTCGGCTGGCGTCCCCACCCAAGCCCCAGCCCGCTGGACGGCTGGCCCACGTTTGTGGTGGGTCTTTTCCTCCTCAGTTCTTCCTCTCTGAAACACCCTCACGGAGCAATCTCAGAGGGGCCCGGGGCGTGGCAACTCCTTGACCAAGAGCAAGTTAGGGACATCCCTGACCCTGCAGCCAACACTCTTGGCTATCAGGGATGGCGCTGCTGCCAGGACCCTCTTTCCACAGGGAGAGATTAGAGGACTCCACCCCCACACACACAACTGGAGGCAGCGCGTGACTCTAACCTAATCTGACTCCAAGTTCAAGGCTCTTATCGCCGCAGCACACTTCCCTCGCCCAGAAAGCGTGACAACACAAAGGCTGGGAACACTCATCACTCCTCGCAGTCCCAGACCAAACGCGTATTCATACAGTGACTCAGACATCTTTTAGCTAACAGCGTGGAACAGTGCTGGGCTCAGCAGACCATGGCATTGAAGGTTCTGAAACAAGATCTGACCGGACCAGCTGAGACCAGACAACTGCCCTGTCCATCTCCCCCAGACACCCTTGATGTTACCATGCTTCACGGTTTCCCTCCTTCCCTCCCTCCCTCTCTCCCTCCCTTCCTCCCTCCCTCCATCCATCCATCCATCCCTTCATCCCTCCACATAGCTGAATGTTCTGGTGACCAGCTGTCCAGGGTGAGACGCAGACAATCTGAAAATAAAGAATGCTGCTTGCATTTCAAGGACAGTCTGCTGGCAACAAAATGCCCAGCTTTGTCAAAATCCCAAGAAGAGCCGACTGTAGAAGTTACTGAAATACGAACTTATCCTCCAAGAGTATCTTCTTAAAAACAATACTTGTTTATTTGCGCTATGTGATTATCACAAGACTGTGAGATACTTAACCTCAAAACTTCCTTTCAGGGTTTAGGAGTGAAGCATCTGGTGTCTTATTCAGAAGTAAGAACTAACCTGAGAATTATAAAATACATACACCAGGCTCTGGTCTAAACAGGCCCTTTACCTGTAAACAAGTTTTTATCCATGACTTAAAAAAAAAAATCACAAAGCCCTGTGAGTGTTCAGCGTCTCCAGAGGTTCTGGGAATTCCCTCTTATTCCCATCAGGCCCTCCCTGCCCCCACCAAAAAAGTTAGTCACCTCCTAATTAGCTTTGTGTAATCTGTAATCCAGTTAGCTTTTATCTGTAACAGCATGCTGGCAATTTAAGCCCTGGATCATAAGCGTTGTCTGGGGAATCTGTTAAAATAAGGACTTTGAAGGATCAGGATTTTTGGTGGCAGAGCTAAACAGATGTGTAACCAAAGGCTTCTATCTGGAATTCTGTCAGTAGCTATTTCCAGCACTAGTTACAAACCAACTACGTTTCCAACAACCAGTAAGGTTTTATGGCTATAGAATACCAGTGCAAAAAAAATGACATTTGGGGCTTTGAGACGGTTCAGGGGGTAAAAGCACCTGCCACACTACATGCCTGGTGACCTGAGTTCGATCCCCAGAACCCACAAACACTGGACGAGAGGAGCACATCTGTAATCCAGCGCCTTTCACCCAGACAGGCGCAGAGACAGGAGAATGGCCAGAGGCTTGCTGGCCGGCTACCAGCTAGCTTTCATGATGCAGCCCAGAAACAATGAGAGAGACTGCATCAACAAGGAGAGAGAAAAAACGACTCCCAGAGCCATCCTCTGACCTTCACACGACTGCTGGGGCATGCGCATGCTCACACGTGGGCACACGCACAAACACACATGAACCCTTATGCACACGTACACACACTCACGTGTACACACACAGACATACTCACCTGCACACATACGCCCACTCACACATACACACACTCTTACACATTCACACATAATACACTCACAGTGTGCACAACTGCTCATACCTACACATACACTCATACATACATACATACACAGACACACACAAACGCAGACACACAGACACAGACACACACACACACACATACACACACACATTGTTCGTGGTGACATCTGTGGGAACACCAGACCTTGAGCAGAGACCCACTTCCCCTTCTGCCTGGGAGTAGGCAGCTGTAAGACAATGTTTACTAAAAACATGTTTACTAAAAATGATACAATAAGTTCCTGGAAAAGGCCTGCCCACGGAAACCGCCCTGACCTCGACCTTGTCAAAAGACTAACCGCACCTTCAAACCCACACACATCCACCTCTGGAGTCAGAGCAGAACCAGCCAGGGAGAGGAGAGAGCAGAAGCTTCTCTGGTGGGAGCTTTTCTTAGGAAGTTTTCTTGAACCTTTTTGGAGCCTGTTTAAAGTTTTCTTCACATCATTGAACGAGTCTCTGTGTTGTCAATCCCGACACCCTCCGCACGTTCTCGGACACAGGCCGCACAGCAGACGTGACAGACATCTGGAGTTTTCTGAGGCTGTGTGAACACTGTCAGTCTATAAAAGCAGACGCACTAAATTTTGCGGCAGGGCTCCATGTGCCCAGGCTGCGTTTGAATGGTGACAGCATGAATGCAAAGAATAGTAGCTCAGTTTGGAAAATTTGTATGACCCCGTGATGGCCGGGATGTGAAATCAAACTTTTACTGACGGGATCGCAAGTTATCTCAAAGACGTAAACCAAGCATGGCAGTACACGTCTGTAATCCCTGTGTGGGAGGTGCGGAGGCAGGGGAGCTGCCACAAGTTTGATACCAGCCTGATCTAGCCAGGGCTGCGCAGTGAGATCCTGTTTCAGAATACAACAACAAAAGAATAGCCTCAAACGAACAAATCAGAAGAACAACTTCCAGTTTTAATCGCGTTTCTCTTTTTCCTGGGGTGATCCTCTTCTCTGCCATTAAACCGCTACTGCCCTTGGGCCCCAGTCCTCAGAAGAGAGGAATTCTTCCCTCTTTAAGACCTCAGAAGTCAAAACGGGAACAGGAGGAGCAACCGGGAGCTAAAACATGATTGTCTCAAGGTGCTCAGGATGGGAGGAGGAGAAAAGCTGGGCCTGGAAGTGGTTAAAGCAGTCATTGTGAGAGCTCGCCCCCCCCCCCCAGAACACACCCACGGTCCGGGAGGCTGTGGCAAGGGACCACGAGTTCGAGACTAGCCTCCCTACAGAGCAAGACCCTGCGTTTAACTAGTGAAATCCTTCTTTTCACTTTTTCTGTGGTCAACTAAATTTTACATAATAACCATATCCTTTATGAAAAACACGGAGTGGCATCTTTTGAAAAATAAGCTAACCGCTGCAGTATAAGGAACATGCAAAAATTTATTGGCGAGGAAGAGAGCCGGGTATCACTAACTTTTGGAGCTTTAGGATGGCAGCAAGTCCTCTGCTTCCAAGTTCAGGAAAGGCGCCACCATCTCCCGAAGCTCCCACATGGTGCGGTGCCCCAGCACGCTGGGCAGCACCCGTTCGAAGAGAAACGTGGCATCCACGAAGAGTATGTAGCACGACAGACCGGTGATGGTGACCACGTAGACCATGATGAAGAGCTTCAGGGCGTGCTTCCTGCAGCAAGGAAGACAGACAGACACGTGTGTTTGCGCCCGGCAAAGAGCCTCATGGGAGAAGGTGCGAACCCTCCATCCCCGCAGCTCCGCCCTGTGGTTCCGGGGTGGGGGTGGAGGGATGTCTGATCCTGTGACCGCACCAGCTGCTTTGGTCGCTTTCGCTCTTTTTGTTCTCATACCCTTTCTGGATACCGTTGGAAGGCACATTTCTTTGTTTGATACCATAGAGTCACTGGTTTTGTTTGACTTTTAAAGATGTGCTGATTTTCTATCTAAGTGTTTCGGTAATATTTTAAACGGTGCACACAGTCACCAGGCTCATGACGACATATGCAGTGGCGAATAAAACGACTCTGCCCTCTCCGTTGGGTGCTAGAGTGGGGACACAGCAGCTTCTTGTCGTGCTCACTGTGTCCCGATTTGCATTTTCCACTGCATATCTCTTCCTGTGGCTGCTGACCGTCAGCGTACCTTGTCTGGTGAAACGCCTAAGTCCTTAACCTGTTTTAAAATCTGGGCTGTACCTTTTTTTTCCCCCTGGGCATTATAAAAGCTTTCTATGCATTATAGATACTAAATCCCTCGTTTTCATAATTCTGAAAAAGTTACTTATGTGTATGCACACTCGTATGCAACTATTATGACAATTAAAACATTTTTGTGTTGAAAGACCCCGGCCCAGTCTACACAGGCAGGCAGCTGAGGCTTATGAAAAATTCCGTTTCCCCCACAGCTGAATAGTCATTGCTATCAGAAGGGAGCTCTGCCCAAGGATACAGGCTGCTGGGTATCTGCTGCAACCAGATGGCCAGCCCAGCAAGATTGGGCAAGCACAGAGACCTATTGTTCCTCAGATAGGGCCAAGGCCGAGACTTGAGTTCCAAGCAAAACCTCAATTGCCCTCGTTCTGAGCCCCAACCTCATTTGAATTACCCAATCAGGGTCCTGTTACTAGGCTTCTCGCTTCTGTACTGCGCTTTTTGCTATAAAAGAACCCCTGAGTCCCCAGCTCGGGGCTCTCAGTTCCCGAGACTGAGACGCCCCGGGTACCCGTGTATTATCAATAAAGCCTCTTGCTGTTGCATCCAAGCTCGTGGTCTCGTTGTTCCTTGGGTTCGGGTCTCCCTTCCGTGAAAGTATCCCTTTTGGGGTCTTTTAGTGTGTGAGTGCAAACACATTTGTACCATGGTGTGGAGGGGTCAGGGGACAACTTTGGGGAACCAGGTCTCTCTCTCTCCACTTTGCTGAGTTAGGGTCTGCCTTGTTTCTGTGTTGTGGGACAGAACATTTCCTGGGGAGAGGATATCACACACACAGACCCCTGCAAGTAAGAGACCCACTGTAATGCAATAAGTAAAACACTGGCTATCTCAGTAGAGCATGAGACTCTTAAAATCTCGGGGTCATGGGTTCAAGCCCCATGTTGGGGCATGACAAATAGAAGACCCAGAGACTGATACTGGGGTTGAAGATCAGAGAAGCAAAGCAGCCAAGCCAATTGCTCTCATCTTATCTCAGACAGAAAGGCGATCCTGACTCCACCAAACCTCATACCGCAATCCCAGACTGCTATGCTCTCCTCAGCGTGGCTAGAGAATCCTGAGGCTGACCACCCAAGACCCTGCTCCTATCTTTTATATCTCTCTAGTGCTGGGATTAAAGGCATGAGCTCTGTTAATCTTTTAGACAAGATTCAATCTCCTGTAGCCCTGGGTGGCTTTGAAAGCATAGAGATCCATCTGCCTTTGTCTCCTGTGTCCTGGGATTAAAGGTGTGTACCGCCACTACCTCATCTCTATAGCTGGAGGCTGACTTTGCTTTCTGAATCCTCAGGCAAACTTTAATAAATCATAAATAATTTATCACCAAAACCCACAACAGACCAAAGTATCGGATACCACCAAAGTCCAACTAGTGAGTTGGACCGTAGAATCTATATTGAGTTAGTATTATTGGGGCAATATACAGGAATATGGGTGAGAGGTTATCTATAGGAGCAGAAATGACTGGAGACAGTTGGATCACAAAAGCCCACCCCAGCATGGGTGACAGACAGCTCACAGAAGTACACTGAACAGCCTGCAGGCAGCTGAACAGGTTGGAACGTGTCCTTTCCAAGTGACTCAGTTGGTCCAAATCTCTTCCAGGCAGCCTGGCTGGTTTCTGCTTCCTCTAGGCAGCTGTTCTTGTTCGAGTCTTCTTTGCAACTTGACTTCCTTTGCCCTGAAGGGATGGGGTGGGGAGTGGGGGACTCTCAGTTTTTATTGTTTACTCTGGCAGGGAGGGGCTTGGTGAATCTGGTCCATTTCAGGGACTTCCTGAAGCTGTTTTGAGTTGTAAATCTTCCTGCTTAAGGAGCTTCCTTGCAGGATGGAATGTTTCAATCTCAGAGGAGGAAACTGTTACACAACATGTAACAGTTTGTTACTCATAGTTTGTTACTCATGGTTCGTTACTCCAGGCTAGGTGATCTTGAGCATCAGGGACATCCTCCAGTCCTCGTCTCCGTCTTGCTGTGGGAATGCTGGTTGCAGACCCACGCCACTGAAACTGGCTTGTTATATGGGTCCTCATGCTTTGGTGGCAAGCAGCCATTTCTCTGACTCTGTTGTGTGACAGTTTTTTCCACCTATTGATTCTATGGAGAAGAGTATTTTCTAGCCGGGCGTTGGTGGCACGCACCTTTAATCCCAGCACTCGGGAGGCAGAGGCAGGAAGATCTCTGTGAGTTCGAGACCAGCCTGGTCTACAAGAGCTAGTTCTAGGACAGCCTCCAAAGCCACAGAGAAACCCTGTCTCGAAAAACCAAAAAAAAAAAAAAAGTATTTTCTGAGGTCGTTACCATTTCCACTGGTATCACTCCTTATTTGACATTTCCTGGGCATGGTGTATGTCCCTCTGCCTTGCTAAAAACCATTAGATGATACTCCTAAAGCTAGCAACCAAGATCTAGTCCCTAACTCGCTCCCTCCCTCCTCCTGAGGAGAACTACCAAAGTCCAGCAATCAAAAGCCCTCTTTAGTTTACCTAGTTTATATACCCAGTTAAAATTAAATATCCTGAGGTATTTAATTTTATAAATTTATAAACCGCCATTTGTCTATGTGTCACAGCTGTCTCCCCTCTATCTAGAGGCGGTCCTCTGTCCCTCCAGGACAAACACTCCTTCCCGTGTCCCCTTCCCTTCTTCCTCATCCCCTGTCTCCTTTACCACTGCATCCTAGCCCATTCGCACGCAGACCCCCCCTTTTCCTCCTCTTAAAATTACACCTACAAGGCCATTTGCTGCTGCTTTATACCAGAGTCAGAAAGCGGCCAATGCGACTTTTCTTCCCCCCACTTAATCAAGGATCTCCGTGGAAACGGGTGTTTGGGTGGGATTTGTGCCTAATCCGGGGCCAGGGAGGCAGCCCCTGCGGTGCAGGGGTTCCCTTGAAAACAACTGTAAAATGCTCCAGCAGGCAGGTTGCTGAGGGTTCTGTCTCGGTTAGTGGCTGGAATTGAAGCGGCACGGTCTTCTCTTAGAGATAGGACTGTTCCTCCAAGATGGTGTGTCAGCTCTATAAAAGGGATCCAAGGACTCAGAAGCTGAGCCAGGGGATGGTGGTACACACATGTAATCCCAGCACGGAGCCCCAGGCCGACACTGGGGGATTGTGTCAAGGCCATCCTGAGCTACATAAGGAGACCTTGTTGATGGGGGAGGTCCTTCTGTATGCTGTGAATATACGTTTCTCTTACTGGTTGATGGATAAAGCTGTTTCAGCCAGTGGACAGGCAGGATGTAGCCAGGTGGGAAACCCAAACAGGGACAGAGAAAGGTAGAAGTTGGAGTCAGAGAGACGTGCCGTGTAGCTACTGGGAAGTAGGATGCCTGGGTGTTCTCTGGTAAGATAAGGCCATGTGGAGACACACAGATAAATAGTTAGGGGTTAATAATTAAGAGAGAGAGCCAGCTAGTAAGAAACCTAAGTCAATGGTCAAACAATTATAAATAGATATTAAGTCTCAGAGTGGTTATTCCATAGAGCTGTGGGGACCGGATCAGGTGGGGAGAAACCAGGAGTCCAGTGGGACTAAGACTCGACGGAGAACATCTCCCAACAGCCTGTCTCAAAAGAGAGGATTGGAAAATTTCCATCAGCATATTGCATAATTGTGTATGTCAGGGTCTCCAGCATACACCCAGAGAACGCCATACCCTACCCCAGAGCTACTTGCAGTTCCATGTTTATTGCTACACTATTTACAGCATCGAGGAAACGGAACCAACCTAGATGTCCACCGACAGATAAAACCCTATGACTTCAGTTAACAGACAAAATTTACAAAAAGAAAATTACATTTTACTCAACACTTGAAGATATGCAGCGAGTCTTAAAACAGTTCATATGTTGAGCAGACGCACACATCCACACATGTGAAAACACATGCCCTCACACGTGGCCTCATGCCTGCATGCGGTCCCCTCTCTGTAGACGGGTCTGCCTAGAACTCAGAGATCCACCTGCCTCTGCCCCTGTTGTGCTGGGGTTAAAGGTGCCGGACACCGCTCTCGATCGCGCTGCATAAGCTTGCTCAGCCCACGCGGTCCCTTGCCCCTCACTCACCACACTGCGCTGGAGAGAGGAGAGTGTGACTCTGACGGGGTTGGAGAAGCCTCGGGAAGCGGGGGCTCTGTTTGCTCTGCGTCCAAGTCTTCGGAGCTGTGGGAGTCCGTCTCCCTCCTTTGAGTGTTGTACTTCTCCAGCTTAGCGTTCAGTATGTTCATTTCCTTATAAAAGCTCTGGGGAGAAAAATTTAAAGGGCAATCAACTCTCTTTTCTTAATTTAAAAAACAAAACAGAAACAACATCCATTCTCCTTGTTGCATTGTAGGCAACGTGTGTGTGTGTGTGTGTGTGTGTGTGTGTGTTTCCCTCTGTGACAACTCAGGAGGCCCTGTGGCAAGCGCACACTCGGTGACATGCACCGAGTCGGGGGAGAGAGGAGAAGCCTTTAACTGTTGGAACGGCGCCCCTGTACTCAACTGTCTATTCATGTGGCATGCCTGCCCACCACGCAGACAGAGTGATGCCCACCAGGACACAGGAAAGATAGGAACGCGCCGTCAACTCCAGGTGCACGCTCAAGGCTTGTGAAACAAGTAACACACGGCTAACCTTCCATGTACATGAGAGCGAGAGAGCGAGAGAGAGAGAGAGAGAGAGAGAGAGAGAGAGACAGAGACAGAGACAGAGACAGAGACAGAGAGAGAGAGCGAGCGAGAGAGAGACAGAGAGAGAGCGAGAGAGAGAGGGAGAGGGAGAGAGAGGGAGAGAGAGAGCGAGAGCGAGAGAGAGAGCGAGAGAGAGAGACAGAGAGACACAGAGAGAGAGCGAGAGAGAGAAAGAGAGGAGAGAGACACAGAGAGAGAGAGCGAGAGAGAGAAAGAGGAGAGACACACAGAGAGAGAGAGCGAGAGAGAGAGAGAAGGAGAGAGGGACAGAGAGAGAGAGAGAGAGAAGGAGAGAGGGAAGGAGGGAGGGAGGGGCATGCTGAGGCGTGTGGCAGAGGCTTGGTGGGGCGAGGACCATGTCCCCAGTGACGCTGAGGAGCCAGCACCTCTGAGCAGGACGGTACTAGCCCATCTGTCCACCATTTCAGCCACATGTCACGTTTCCGCCCCCGTGTAGGAGGTGTCGGGGAAGGAACTCAAAGGTGAACTCGTTCTCTAGGTGAGAGAGACAGAAGAGGTCTGGGGGGAGAGATGCCGTTTGCACTGAGCCTTGCGTGATGCACGACACGGAGGACGCGGAAATGACTAAGGGAGGAGGAGCAGAGGTGTGGAGAGAGAGAGACACCAGAAAGAATTCAGCCCAAGGCAGAAGAAGCCTGAGGGATGGAAAAGAAGATGTGTGACCCGCTGGAGACCAGAACGAGGTGTGGTTCGGCTTCCTGGGAAATAGCTGCCAGGCCTAGCAAGGAGCCCGCCCCACCTGGCTGGATAGGTAGACTTGGGGCATCTCACCTCTATCCGTTGGACGAGTTTCTCCTTGAGCTCACGGGCTTCGTTGCAAGCATCGACCTAGAAAGACACCCACGGGTCTGAGCACACTGACAGGTGCGCCTTTCTGGTTTATATGATAAACCCTCTCGTGGTTTTGCTCCACGTACAAGGCGGCTGTTCAGAGACAGCCGCGTTTACTCAGTGACGTGGCTCCCTTGGGTCTGAGGATGCAGCACTGCCACAGAGCTCTTGCCTAACTCGGCTCCCGTGCTCAACACCGCAGAAGCCAAGTGAATGAAAGCAGCGGTGGAGCAGACATGAGGCGAACCGTTCAGGCGCCACGGACCAGGTCATGAATCGTATGTTGCAAGAAGAATAGCCAAGGGGCTGAAGAGATGGCTCTGAGGTTAAGAGGACTGGCTGCTCTCCCAGAGTTCAATTCCCAGCAACCACATGGTGGCTCACAACCATCTGTAATGAGATCTGGTGCCCCCTTCTGGCCTGCAGGCAAGCATGCAGACAGAACACTGTATACATAATAAAAAAATCTGAAGAAGGAGGAGGAGGAGGACCAAGATCAACATGGGCTGTTTCTAGTCCTTTGTTAAGTATAAATTCCCCAGCGTGGTGGAGCCTGCCTTTAAACCCCAGAGGCACAGGCAGGCTGATCTCTGCCTGTTCGAGGCCAGCCAGGGCTATGTAGCAGGACTCTGTTCATAAAACAAGAATGCATAAATGAATGAATACATAACTTCAGGGTGAGACATTGGCCTCAGTGGATGAAGCGTTTGCCTTGCAAGCGTGAGGGTTAAAGTTCAGGTGCCCAGAACCCACGCAGGAGCTGGACAGGCAGAGACAGGAGCGTCCCAGAGCAGGCTGGTTGGCTAGACTGGCCAGAACTAGAGCATTCTGGATCGGGGGAGAGACCCTGCCTCAAAATAAAGTGGAGAGAAATTGAGAAAAATGCTTGATAGCAACTTCAGGCCTCATGCACATGCTGCACACACGCACACACACAGGCACCGGCACACACACCCGTGTCCATGCAAACACGTATGCACACATACACACACGTGCACACACACACAGGCACCACCAGCTTTTATGGGCTGGAGAGATGGTTTACAGGTTAAGAGCAGTGAATGCTCTTCCAGAGGACCCAGGTTCAATTCCCAGCACCCACGCAGTGGTGCTCAACTGTCTGTAACTCTAAGATCTGACACCCTCACACAGACATACATGCAGGCAAAACGCCGATATACATAAAATAAGTATAAATCAGTTATTTCTTTTTTTGTTGTTGTTGTTTTTTTTCGAGACAGGGTTTCTCTGTGGCTTTGGAGGCTGTCCTGGAACTCCCTTGGTAGTCCAGGCTGGTCTCGAACTTACAGAGATCTGCCTGCCTCTGCCTCCTGAGTGCTGGGATTAAAGGCATGCACCACCAACGCCTGGCTAAACCAGTTATTTCTAAAAAAAATCTTCTAATGCTGGAGAGACCTGGCTCAGCAGCTAAGGGCCCTGGCTGCTCTTACAGGGGACCTGTGTTCAGTTCTCAGCACCCACGCGGTGGCTCACTAACCTCTGTAACTCCAGTTCCAGGAGATCCAGCGCCATCTTCTGGCCTCCATGGGCACTGCACGCGTGCTGTACACAGACATACATGCTGGCAAAAGCATCCATACACTTCACATTAAAAACAAAAATCTTGCACCAAGGTAGGAGCTGGTGAAAAGACCAGGCTTCTGAGAAAATAAAGCGCTTCTTCAAATATGTACATATTTCTAAGGTATAGATGTAAGGTCTCATCAGATCATACCCGGGCTCTGTCTCAGCAGGAGAAACTCTCTAGCAGGGCAGGTCATCTGGGAGAGAATGCGCTGTCCTGTCTTGCTTTTTAAAGGAGCACTGGCAGGAGCAGGTAGAGACTTTTTACATCTGTTCTTTTCTTAATTTTTTTTTCAGCAGGGTCTCACATATTCCAGGCTGGCCTCCAACTACCTGTGCAGCCAAGCAGGAACTTGGATCCAGATCTTCCTGCCTTTGCCTCCCAAACACTGGGACTACATGCCCATGTGCGCCACCAGGCCTGGTTTATGAGGAGCTGGTGACTGAACCCTGGGCTCTCTCTGTGCCCGTCACTGAGCCACGGTCCTAGCCCAAGGACTGGTTCCTTGAGGCTCAGTTCCTCATGGTAAACACTTATGTGTGGTGATATTTATGATTTATTAAAGCTTGCCTGAGGACTCAGAAAGCAAAGTCAGCCTCCAGCTATAGAGATGAGGCAGTGGTGGCCACACACCTTTAATGCCAGGACTCAGGATAAAGAGGCAGATGGATCTCCATTAGTTCAAGGCCACCCAGGGCTTCATGAGATTGAATCTGTCTGAAAGATTAGCAGAGCTCATGCCTTTAATCCCAGCACTAAAGAGATACAAAAGATAGGAGCAGGGTCTTGGGTGGTCAGCCTCAGGAGTCCCCAGCCACGCTGAGGACAGCACAGCAGTCTGGGATTGCGGTCTGAGGTTTGGTGGAGCCAGGATCGCCTTTTGGTCTGAGGTAGAGTAAGAGCAATTGGCTTGGCTGCTTTGCTTCTCTGATCTTCAGCTTGAAACTCGAACCGCAGTGTCAGTCCCTGGGTCTTTTATTTATCGTGTTACACTCATGTACAAAATTCCAACTGTCCAAGAAAACAGAGCCAATGAACTCAAACATCAGCCTCCGGTGGTTGTGCAGCAGCGACAGAAGATGGCATCTCACTGGCACAGAGAATCCTGAAGAAAAGTGGCCTGTGAAAAGCCAGCTGCAGACAAGTGTGCATCTGACGTGCACAGCAGTGACCGGTGTGCAAATAAGCGTGATGTCGGGAAGACGTAAACACACACGAGTGTGCATCTGAAGTGCACAGCAGTGATCGGTGTGCAAATAAACGTGATGTCAGGAGGACGTAAACACACACGAGTGTGCATCTGAAGTGCACAGCAGTGACCGGTGTGCAAATAAGCGTGATGTCAGGAAGACGTAAACACACATGAGTGCTCATTGTGCTTATCTTTGAAGGACACCAGTTCTTCGTTTGTTTGTGAGAAACAGGGACTCTTTACGTAGTCCTGGCTGTCCTGGAACTCACTCTGTAGACCAGGGTGGCCTGGAACTCACAGAGATCGCCTGCCTCTGACCCCCACCCCCACCCCCACTGGGATTAAGGGCGTGTGGCACATCCAGCTATTTTTCTTTCATTTTATGTGACTTACTTTCACAGTGTTTTCATTGCCAAACTAGGTATATGCTACTTTTGTTAGAAGAAAAAGAACACTCACCAGCACTCGGGAGGCAGAGGCAGGCGGATCTCTGTGAGTTCAAGACCAGCCTGGACTACCAAGCGAGTTCCAGGACAGCCTCCAAAGCCACAGAGAAACCCTGTCTCAAAAAACCAAAAAAAAAAAAAAAAAAAAGAACACTCACATGTTATGTGATACTTTGTGTGATGTTAACATAAATGGGAAAGGAAGAGAAAAGGCGAGCTTTTACATTTTTTTTCACTTTTTATCACGTTTGTTTATTTGTGGTGGCTAGCACTCATGCCACGAAACATGTGCCAGGGTCAGAGGGCAATATGTAGGAGTCTGTTCTCTCCTTTCATGCTGTGGATTCCGGGATCAAACTCAAGATGTCAGGTTTGGCAGCAAAGCCTCTAAACCCACTGAGTCCTCTTGCTAGCCTGAGAGTGGCACTTTTTATCTGGAATCACCGTGTGTGTGTGTGTGTGTGTGTGTGTGTGTGTGTGTGTGTGTCTGTGTATATACATGTGTGTATCTGTCTGTGTGTGTATGCATGTATGTATCTGTGTGTGTATGTCTATGTTTGTGTCTGTATGTACTTGCGTCTTTGTGTACATGCCTCTGTGTGTGTATGCATGTGTATCTGTGTGTATGTATGTGTGTGTATGCATGTGTGTGTCTGTGTGTGTGTATGCATGTATGCAAGTGTCTGTGTACAGCTATAGATTTGACCTAGATCTGTTGTACACGTCTGACAAAAGCTCTCCTACTGAGCCACTTCATCTTGGAGCCACGGGGCTTTCCTTCTGAAAACACGTGTGCGACGCTGAATCCCCTCCAGAGGCTAACTCCTACTGAGCCACTTCATCTTGGAGCCACGGGGCTTTTCTTCTGAAAACACGTGTGCGACGCTGAATCCCCTCCAGAGGCTAACTTCTGAGTCCCCTTCCCTTCACGTTTAAACTCCATGCTTTCAAGGGTCGATTTTCCCCCTGGTCTAAAAAGACGTCTCATTACCTGGGCCAATTTGATGTTCATTTCTTTTAACTGCTTTCTAATTTCTACGATCTTCTCCTATAACACAAACACAGACCACACAAGTTAGAAGGGATGACATACGGAATCGAAATAAAACAGTTTTTAGCACATGCACGGTCAGCAAACTTCAGATTTCGTAGCTGCTTTCCCCCTCATAAGATCTGGTTTATAAAAGCCAGCGTCAAATCGTGCCATTGAGATACAGTTGGCGGAGCCGGACCGTGGTGGCGCACGCCTTTAATCCCAGCACTCCGGAGGCAGAGGCAGGCGGATCTCTGTGAGTTTGAGGCCGGGCTGGACTGACAGCCTCCAAAACAATACAGAGAAACCCTGTCTCGTTAAAAAAAAAAAAAAAGATGCAGTTGGCGGCGACGGGGGGGGGAGGATGCTCCAGTGGTTAAAACACTGGCTGCTCTTGGCTCCCAGTACCTGCACCGTGGCTCGCAACTGTCTGTAACTGCTGTGCTGGGGGATCCGGCGCCCTCTTGAGGCCTGTGTGAGCACTGCGTGCATGGGACAGACAGACAGACACGCACACACCTTTTTTAAAAGGTGTGATTGGCCACACCTTATACAGGTGACCCCCCCCCCCCAGCTAAGCACTGGGCTGGTCCAGTCTAAGTAACAGGAGCGCTGGTCACCCTGAGCAGCCAGCAACCTTCAGCAGGGCGTGGCCACATTTGGGGTCCATAGTCACCCTCGCTTTGTACTGCATTACTTCGTCACCAGCCCCCGAATCACGTGTTTTAAAAAGGGGTCGGACTCTCAGGAGGGTGAGCTTGGACTCCTGATTCTCTGCCTCTGCCTCCCAGGTGCTGGGACAACAGACTTACAGGGGCATTTCCTAACTGCCCCTTCCCTTTCCCCTCAGCAACTGCCCGTCCATCTTGTCCATCTTCTGTCCCCATGGCTTTGCCCTTTTGTTCACCTAAATGTGCCATGAAGTCTGAAACCATCAGAGCTGGCATCTTTCAAACAGCCTGCTGTGTCTCAGATCACTCATGCTGTTGGGAGAGTCGGGGGTTTGTTCCTTTGCGTTTCAGGATGGTGTTCCCTTGTGCACACAAGATATGGCTTCTCTGCTTACCGACTGGTGGGCGTCTGATCTGCTTCTGGGACTTAAACTCACGTGTGGTATTTCGTATGCTTTGATTCAGTGGGCCCACAAAATTGCGTAGATCCAGCCCAGTTTCATACGTGTGTGTGTGGGGGGGGGTGGCACCTTCTCCCTTCCAACGATCTCAATCCCCCCCCATAAAGTATAAATCTCCCTCGGTGTGGTGACTCGTGGCTGTGAACACAGCACTGGGGAGCGGCTGGCTTACCGGGAGTTCAAGGTCAGCACAAACTAGCAAGGTTAGCGTGGAATATTCCTGTACACTGTGTATGCCACTGTGATTGGTTTAATAAAGAAGCTGACTGGCCAGTAGCTGGACAGGATAAGGTCAGGCGGGAGAGCCAGACTAAGGGCACTGGGAAGAAGGGCGGAGTCCCGAGAAGTCGCCAGCCGGACACACAGGAGGACGACGCCATGTGGCAGAATGCGGATGAACAGAAATGGGTTAAATTGAAATGGATGAGTCAGGTTGTAACAAGCCCGAGCTATCAGCCAAGCGTTTATGATTAATATTGAGTCTCTGTGTGTTTGTTTTGGAGGCAGCAGATGAGACTGACAACTCCATTTACAGGGTTAGTCTACATAATGAGCTCCAGACTAACCCGTGTCTAAGAGAAGATTCTCGTCTCACAGCAAAACAAAAACTTAAAAAACCAGACCAACGAGACGGCTTAGCGGGTAAGAGCATTTGCTGCCAACCTGCTCACAGCCCTGGGCCCCACAAGGTAGAAAGGGAAAACCTGGCAAGTTGTCGCTGACCTCCATGTATGAACGCATGCACACACATGCACACATGCATGAATATATACATGCACACATAACATATGTATGCACATACATGTACAAACACAATACATAAATAAAATTAAAAATAAACATCAAAAAAAAATTTTAAAACCTTTCACTGAAAAGAGATAAAGAAATAGGATGCTTTGGAGGTTTGGAAATAACACAAGAACATGTCAAGAAGGCGTCAGAGGCCGCACAGTCAGTTTAGTTCTTGATTTCTCAGGGCATGGTTGACAAATGCCCATTTCCTACACGTTTTCTCCAGACTAGCGGGGCTGGGATCGTGAGAGTCAGACAGGCGGGTATCCTCACGAGGGCATAAAAGACAGATGCCCGTGAGGAGGGATGCATAACAGAGTCCAGGGTTCCGAGCGAGAGTCAGACAAGGAAGCAGTGTCCCCTGGTGGGAGGGGCTCGGCAGTGTGGCTAGTGACCCCTGTGATGGAGGCGAGGTTCCCTCTTGGCTACGGTCTGATTGGCACCAGAGGAGGGAGGCGGAGGCAGAAGCCCAAACCTGGCTTACCTCAATGTTTGCTTCCTGATTAGGGTCCTCCAAATTTTCAGACTGGTTTTCCAGGGACATCACCTCAGCTAACAGGCTACAAACAGATGGAGAAATGGACTAAGTCCTGCGGATTGAGAAAACAATCATCCAACGTGGGAGAGGTTTCCGGCCTTCCAAAAGTGAAGCGCTGTTATTCCACATGGAAGGGCGTGGTCAAGAGGTACTAGCCTCTGCTCCTTGAGAGAAGCTGTTGGAGGTGTGGGAAGAGAAGCGCTGCCCCGGAGCTGGGACTGGACCTAGGGATTTGTGCAGGAGAGGCACTGAGCTGTAGCCACAGCCTGGACAGTGACGTTTCAAAATACAAACACTGGGAGTCTGGGCTCTTATCCAGACTTACATCAAGAATCTTCAGCTCAGTAGCAAGTTGGGCGTGGTGGTGCACACCTAATCCCACTGGGGGGGGGGAATGGAGGCAGGAGGGTCAGGAGTGCCAAGCTAGCCTGGGCTATATGAGACTCAGTCTGAAAACAAACACAGGGAAGGAAGAAAATAACGGATTTTGTCGCAGATCGAGGTACATCCTCATTGCGTAGGTTTCATGACTATAAGCCTTTGTGAAACTCACAGGACCTCACATTATACAAACATAATTGTCGTATGTAATATAATTATACTTTAATTTAAAAGAGAAAACACATAGTGTGTGGGACGTGGGTCCTTTTTAATGCTCTGGAGGATAAAAAGGCCCATCTGGATGGAGCGTGTATGAACAGATGCTTTGCCACAGTAAAGAGGAAACAGTGAGGAGCGCAGTTCCTCTGTGCTAGCAAAGAGGTTGGAACACGGTCGGTCTGGAAATTCAAGGCTCAGTTCAGACACTCATTCCACAAGAGCTTCTGTTTGTTACCCGCGGGCTATGTACCAGCCTCACACTTGAACCCTCTTGATTGAGCCAGAGATGAGGGCACCATTAGTGACTTTTTATACACGAGCAAAGGCAAGCCCTTATAAAGGTCGATTGATTTGCCCGATAAGTGGGACATCAGGACCTGGCTTCCAATCCCAGCAGATTGGATTCCATAACTGGGAAGTAGAGGCAGGGGTATTAGGAGTTCACAATGATACACAGAGAGTTTGAGGTTAGCCTGGGCTACATGAGACCCTTGGGGTGGGGGAGGGAGCGCACAGGAGAGATGGCTCGGCCAGTTAAAGTCCATGCTGCTTCTGCAGGAGAACAACTGTGTTTCTCAGCAACCACATGGCGATTCACAGACGCCTGTAGCTCAAGCTCCAGGGATCTGAAACCTCTGACCCCCTGGACACCTGTGCTTGCATGCATGTGCCCACATGCATATACATACATGCATGTACCCACATGCATATACACACATGTGTGTGCCCACATGCATGTACACACATGTGTGTACCCAAGTGCATATACACACATGTGTGTACCCATGTGCGTGTACATGCATGCGTGTGCCCACGTGCATATTCATAAATGTGTGTGCCCACATGCATGTACATACATGCATGTACCCACGTGCATATACACACATGCGTGTAACCATGTGCGTATACATACATGCGTGTACCCACGTGCATATTCATAAATGTGTGTGCCCACGTGCATGTACACACATGCATGTACCCATGTGCATGTACACACATAGGTACAAAATGAGGGCATGCACGCCCACTGGGTACCTGTGTGCATCCCTTTGATAAACAACTCTGTTTTAAATGAAAAAGAATGTGGGAGAAATCGTTGAGAGACCAGAGGCCCGGAGAGCTGAGATGTGAGCCTGGGTGGGACGTGGACTTCCCTGCCCCGGACTGCGCTTCTTGTCCTGAGGCCGCACTGATGCCTGAGAGACAGTGTTCTGAGCGCCAGAGCCGTGAGATGACACCCCACTATTTTCCTGCCCGCCCCAGTTCCCAGCCTTTACCTCTTCACGGTGCTCTCTGTGTTGTTTATCTTTTGTATGATGGTGTTGATCTTCTCCAACCAGTCAGCGTGGTCGGCTCCAAGCTCCTTCATTTGCAGGCCCATCTTTGTGTCCCAGTAGCTCAGCTTGAGGACAGAGCTCTCTGGGGTCCTGCGGAAACAGGACCCTGATCACTGGGGAGCACCTCACTCGCTCTTCCTTGGGCTGACCAGTTGATTTCCATATGTGTTTCCTGCCACCAAGATGGGCCGGGTGGCCATTTACTTATCTGTGCAAACAGGTCTTTAAAAGCCTGGGTGAGGCAGATGATCTCACAAAATGTGCATGCGTGTTTCTGAGAGTCAAACTCAGGACCTCACACAAAGCAAGCACTCTGCCCCGGAGCTACGTGCCCAGCCCTTAAAAGTTTTATGTGGGGGCTGGAGAACTTGCTCAGTTGGTTCCAAGCACTCGTGGCTCTTGCACAGAAACTAGGTTTGGCTCCCAGCGCCGTACGGTGGTTCACAACCATCCGTAACTCCAGGAGCTGAGGACCCAACACCCTCTTCTGACCTCCTCGGGCACACGTGCAGCATACATCCATACGTGAGGCAGGCAAAACGTTCACACACATACTTTTTTTTGAAAAGCTTTATGTTTTAAAAAATAATTTATATTTTTCTCAATGCTAGGGGTTGACCCCAGGGCCTCACACATGCTAAGCAAGCACTCCACCACTGAGCTATTGACCCGGTCCTAAAAACAGATATATTTGAAATGTCCTTCTATGTAAGGAATGTTAGCTATTGGGTTGGGATAGTGGCAGTGGAGGAGAGGTGTGCCAGAGGAGGTGACACTCAAGGGGATTAATGGTTCCTAACAATGATTAGGACGAGCCTCATATATAAGCATTTATCTGAGACTTAATGTGATGCCTGTCAATTCTGAGCTCCAAGTCCAAGGACACTCAGAAGACTTGATGACTCAGCCAGGCAGTGGTGGCGCACGCCTTTAATTCCAGCACTCAGGAGGCAGAGGCAGGTGGATCTCTGTGAGTTCGAGGCCAGCCTGGTCTACCGAGCTAGTTCCAGAACAGCCTCCAAAACAATACAGAGAAACCCTGTCTCAAAAAACAAAAACAAACAAACAAACAAACAAAAGACTTGACGACTGTGCCAGCATCTTCAGGCCAGGACTGCCTGACTCTTCAGCCTTGCTGGGCAGGGTCAGCCAGTCCCCATGCACGAGTATGGGCGCGGCATGCTTCAATGGGCTTTCTCTGAATTCCTTACTAAGCTGTGTCGTCTCTCCCAGTCACTCAGAGCTCCCCCACCGGGTCGCGTCAGAGCTTACGGTTCGAGGGTGCTCGTCTCCGAAAGCTGTGGCAGTGAAGCTTGAGGGTCTGCGCACACAAGAGCTGCTTCTTGCTCATCCTGATTGATCGGCGGATCCTGGCTGTGCTTAGAGTCCTGCTCCAACCTATCCTGCGAGAGGTGATGGCGGAAGGGAAATAGAACAAATCACGAGAGATCCTGGCTTCCCCAGCTCTACCTGACACAGCTTGCCTTGAGGCCCCGCCTTCTAGTGTCTGGATGAGATAAGAAGACAAGCCCTCCGTCTGGCTTGCAGCAGGCTGGGGGGCAGGCATTCCAGGACCAGACTCCCAGGAAGGACTGGGCAAACAGTAGAAATGCACCCAAGAGTGAACCCCAAAAACTGACTCAAAGGACACAGCTCTTCTGGTCTCTTCAAAACCTCAACACCAGACAGACCAGGGTGCGCGTCTGTACCTCCTGCACCCAGGAGGCTGGGGCGGGACAGTATGAGGCCTGTCTGGCTCACACAGGGAGTCATGGACCAGCCTAGGGCACATAGTGAGTTATAGGCTAGCCTGGGCTACATAACAAGCCCACAACACAACAAAACAAATGGTGGGGTCTCAATATCACAAAAAGGCAACGTACATGTCTCATAGTAAGGCAATCTACTGAGCTACGGAAACTAAGTGCACGGCACAGATCTTTTTCCAATGATAGTTAAAAAAAAAAAACAGCTCTAGGACACAAGCTCAGTTCTCAGCTCACAACCACCCGTGACTCCAGTTCTGGGGAATCTAACACCCTCTTCTGGCCTCTGAGGACACTGGAAATGCACATGATGCACACACACACATGTAGGGGAAACATTACACCCATAAAACACACAGATGAGCCGGGCGGTGGTGGCGCACACCTTTAATCCCAGCCCTCGGGAGGCAGAGGCAGGCTGATGTCGGTGAGTTCGAGGCCAGCGGGGTCTACAAGAGCTAGTTCCAGGACAGGCTCCAAAGCTACACAGAGAAAGCCTGTCTCTAAAAATAAGACCAAAAAATTTTACAGAAATGAATCTTTAAAAGCGACATAACTCTAAAAACATTTGAGGCATAGCTGAGGAAACTGGAGTATTATTGAGAGATGAGAGGCTTAGACTCCTTTATGTGCTAAACTGCTAATTTCTCTAGATGTGATGACAGTATTTTGGACACTTAGGAGACAATCTTTATTTTTAGAGAGGCCTTCTGAAGGCAACAGGGACAAACTGTTGTGTTTGTCCTACTTTTAAATGGCTCAGCAAAGTGCAGCCATTTATACACGCAGAGACAGGTGAATGCCGAGACTCCTGACTGTTTCAAGGTGTGGCTGTAGGAGCATGGTGGCCACTGTTTGTGCTTCTAAGTGATCTCCCCTTGTTTATTTCATGGCAAAGGGTGTGAGAGAGATAGCCTACTCTATTTTATTTAGCAAACAAAAGTCCTTCTTCTTGCTTCTCTTTATCTCTCTCTTTTTTCTTTTAGCTTTGTTTATGTTTTTAAATATTAAAGTCATTCTCTGGCATTTCAACTCTATACATGAAAAAGATTACTGAAAAATGACAGTAACTTACGTCAGAACACCTGTTTTTTTGTTTTGTTTTGGTTTTAACTCTACTGTAAAAAACAGTTCTTTGAGGAGGTTTTAAGCAAAACTCCTGTGCTTCAATAAAACAAACCTTGGTCGGGGCATTGGTGGCGCACGCCTTTTAATCCCAGCACTTGGGAGGCAGAGGCAGGTGGATCTCTGTGAGTTCGAGACCAGCCTGGTCTACCGAGCTAGTTCCAGGACAGAGTCCAAAACAATACAGAGAAACCCTGTCTCGAAAAGCCAAAAAAAAAAAAAGGGCAAAGCTTAAACTGAAAAGAGGAAAGCATGGGGTGGGCTGAAGAGCATTCCTCGCCGAGACACCCTGGCTTCACCCCAGCGCAGGCCACAGGAGCGCCCCTGGCTGCTCCCTGGTCAGAAAGCGGAGTCTGCATCCTCAGGTAGACTTGAGGGGGTCTCAGGCAGGTTGGAAATGCTCTCAGCCTGCATGCAGGCGGCTCACTCAGCAAAGTCCACCTAACGCCCACGCCCCAGCACTGCTGGGGCCACTTTATTTGGACAGAAGCCTTCGTAGACCCTGCCACTGAGTTTTAAGAGCTTGCGATCGGGTCATCGCAGACTAATCTGGGCAGCTCCCGAATCCAGCAAGAAGACCCTGTAGTATGAGACAGAGGAGGAGGCATAGCTGTGCGAAAGGTGACCAGAAATGGCGTCCGAAACCGCGGTGCAGCGTGGGGTTGGGGGGGCAGCCGGGACAAACCCCCCGGGGGGCGCCGCCAGAAGCAGGGAGAGGAGGGGCTCCCCCTGGAGACGAAATTGAGGTCGGACGAATGCATCCTGTTGGGAGACATTCTACACATAACATCTGCTCTCAGGTGACCTAGGCCAGTTGTAATCCATCCTCACAGACAAAAATCCGCACATAACACATGGTGGGGAGGGGCGGCGTGGGGAAGCTGGGCGTGGACCCCTGGGTGGAGACAGCAGTGTGGGAACTCCATCCCCTTCTCTCTCAATGTCACAAAGGGGCAAGCCTTGGGCATTTCCTTCCTCCTTGGAGACACAGGTGAGGTCATTTCTATACCTGCTGCGATATTTCTCTCTCTCTCTCTCTCTCTCTCTCTCTCTCTCTCTCTCTCTCTCTCTCTCTCTCTCTCTCTCTCTCTCTCTCTCTCTCTCCTTTTGCTTTGTTGTCTGCTTGTGTCTGGGGGCCTGTTACACCCAAGGCTGACCTTGAGCTCCTCTGTTCTCCTGTCTTCTCCTCCCACAGCTCAGGCTGGGATTACAGGCACGCACCATCAGGACCAGCCTCGCTTACCCATTCTTCAGAGTGCATCTTGTGAAGGGAATCGGTCTGCAGGTTTTCAGGAAATTCGTCTTTCTCATCTGGTCTGTCCGAGGCATGCTCCATTTTCCACAGTTTCCCTTGGCAAATGCAAACACAGGTTGTTACTGTTACCATAGGAGTTTCAGTCCTCTGTTCTACCAGCTTTTAACGGAGCCCTGGGAGACGCTCCCCAGCCCCGGGGACATCCGCTACCCTCTACTGACTTTTTGTGAAGCAGAGATAGAAGAAATGCATAAATACTCGTTGGCTGAATCCACACATTTCTTAACAATGAGACCCCAAATTGCTGGTATTTGTATTTGCATGCATAAAAGTGTGGGAGTGATAAGCAGTAAATAGCAGAGACTGAACCCTCGAGAACCCAGGTTCTAAGGGTGGTCGGTCAGAGAGGACCGGGTCCGTGGTGGCCTCTGGTGACAGTGTTGTCAACGTGACAGAATCTAAAACCAGAATCTAAACACGGGAGGTGGGGACTCTGGGCATGACTGTGTGGGACCGTCTTAACTGAATCTGTTGGGATGGGAAGGCCCACCCATTGTGGGATTCTGGAATTGTATAAAACAGACAAAAAGGGGCTGAACAGACACGCAGGAGTTCACCACTCTCCTGCGGATGGGTTCGACCGTGCCTTGGATTGTGAGCCAAGATAAAACCCTTTCTGTCAGGGGTTGCTTTTGTTGTTGTTGTTGTTATTTAACTGCGACAAGGGGAAATGAAACTAAGAGCGGGTTGCCTTTCTGAGAGCCGCGGCCAGCTCCTGAGAAGGAACGGTGAGGGCACAGTCGGCCGGCCCGGGTGAAGAAGGTATGGGGGAGGGGAAGCTTGAGGATGCCTGCTCACATCCAGTCAGCGAGCGACCAGGAAGCACAGCTCAGCCAGAGGGAAGAGGACCCAGCTCCTACCTCGAAGGCTCACTTCCCCAGTGGCCCACTTCCTCCAGCTGGGCCTCACGAAGGTTCTGAACCCCCCAAAACAGCACCATCAGCTGGGCTGGGACCCAGTGCTCAGACTCGCAAAGCCACATTTAAACCACGACACGACACTCCTTATGTACTAATATGACTTCAGATTATTACAAAGGAAATTCCACCCACACTGTTCTCTGTCCTTTACTCTTCCACAGAAAGCATGACAAGCATGTGAGCTTCTACAGGCCTGTATAAACATGGGGGCGTTTACATCCTTTAAGTCTGAACTTTGAACGTCCTTTGTAATAATCCGAAGTCATATTAGTACATAAGGACTGCTCCACATACATGACTATGTTGGGGAAGTATAGTAATTTTTATCTGATGTCTGTGTGTGTGTGTATGTGTTCATATTGTTGTGTATGTGTGTGTGCAAAGGCCAGACAGCAACACAGATGTCTTCCTCTATTATCCTTTATTTTTTTTTGAGTCAGGATTTCTCACTGTCCCTGGGGCTTGCTGTTTTGGCCACCCAGGCAGGCTAGGCTAGCTCCTGGGTTCTTCCGGTCCCTGTCTCCCAGCAATGGGGTCAGAAGTAAGTGCGATCACACTCTTCCACGGTGCTCGCGCTTGTGTGACAAGCGCTTTACCAACCATCAGTCCCAGGAGCACCCCAGGGAATCAGTGTCACAAGCAGCGCTGAACGGACGCCTGATGGGAGACGCCATTCTGTAAATCTGTCTCTTATTGGTTGTTGAATGAAGCACTGTTGGCCAATAGGGAAGTGAGATAGGTGGGACTAGGAGTCGAGGAGGATTCTGGGAAAGGGAGGCAGAGTCAGACATCACGTAGACCGCCAGAGTAAGAGGTCCGGACCCTTTTCTCCGGTAAGAGAAATACTTAGATTAGCAATTATGGGTTGAGTATTTAAGTCAGAGATAGCCAGTAAGAAACCAAGCAAATGGCCAACAGCTTCATAATTAATATAGCGTCCTATGTGTTATTTGGAGGTTCAGACAGCGCGGCAGGGCCCAGGAGACTGGCAAGGAAGAGTACATGCTACAGACAGCTTTCTGTCTGCATGTTGTTTGTGTGCTGGCACAGTGAGAGGTAGTTCCCATGTGTGTATGCATGTGTGTGTGTCTGTGTGTGTGTGTGTGTGTGTGTACGTGCCAGCAAAGTGACAGGCAGTCCTCATATCTGTGTGTTCACTGCCCAGTCCTCTTCTCTCCTGTGTAACAAGAGTCCTAGAGCCCTTTGCCCATCTCCTGTTAAACCGTTACTATTTTACTAAGCTGCATGTATGTGACACAAATACACACGTCTTTAGTAGGCAATTCCATGTCTGTGGACCCTGAGCATGGAAGTGGGCTGGGGACACTTCACACCTCGCCTGCTCTGGCGGGTTGGATGAGATGTCCCCACAGTCTCAGACATGTGGCTATGTGTCCCCTAATTGATGGTGCTGTTTGGGAGGTTCGGGAGTGTGGCCTTGTTGGGGGAGTACGAAGCTGGAGCGCCCTTTGGAATTTCCAAACTCCTGCCACTTCCAGCTTGGTCTCTCTGCTTTGTGCTTTTGGTTCAAGACGCGTCGGCCACCGGCTGCCTGAGCTCCACTCACCCTCTGGGGCTGTGAGCCCAGCAAACTCCTCCTCCTACGAACTGTGCTTTGTCACAGGGAGAGAACAGTAACGAATGCCCACACCTAGGAAGGATCCTGTCATGGATACGCTTACGAGAATCATCCTTACTCCCAGGGTTTGGGAGGCAGAGGCAAGTAGACCTCTCTGAACCCAAGGCCAGCCTGGCCTGCTAAGGAGTTCCAGATCAGCCAGGGCTGCCCAGTGAGACACTCACTGTCTTAAATCAACAGCAACAAGAACTGCCCACTTTGAGGACCCAGATCCATCGTCACTGATGCATGATGAAGTAACTACCGTGCTGTGACTCCGCATTCTAAATGGCTGCGCATCTTTAGCAGCTATCGATAAGGGAGCCGTGAAGCAACGAACAGGAAACAACCGATTTCCCAAACGGAAAGCCAAGGTTTGCCCAGTTCTGCCCGGGCGAGGCCTCTCATTCTGACCACAGGCAGCATGAGCGCCCCATAATGCTACTATGGTAGACACTTATGAGCTAAAATTAGAGGACCCTGAACTTGAAACATGTCCTTATCTGCCTCCTGCTGGCCTCAGGCGGCCTCCAGGCAGGCCCCTGGCTTACTCCACACTTTCAGCCTTCATGACCTTTGGAGCAAGCTGTTGTTCTTCCCAATCGCGTGCTCTCCCTTCACAGCCATCCTCATCTGCAGGGACATCATCTCACTACTGAGGGGTGCGGGTGTGACAACCCCAAGGACAGGAAGCTGTCAACAGGATCAACAGTGTCCCCCGCCCCCCACAAGTGGCTAATTCTTCCTCAGAGAATTCGGCCTGTTTCCCACACCGCCAAGCTGGCTGCCCTTTCTGAGGCCCCACAGCAAGCTGTCCAGAGTCTCTGTCCAAGTATACAGAGGAAGGATCTGTGGTGTGACTGTCCCCGAGGTTACATACAGCTCATGTCTAAGTCAGTAAATCACCCTTGAACAGGGACATCACAGGGAAATATGTAACCGCCATTATAGAGGCAGAACTCTATGAGTTATTTCTTTTTGTTTTTTGTGGGGGAGGATTTAGAGACAGGGTTTCTCTGTGGCTTTGGAAGCTGTCCCGGAACTAGCTCTTGTAGACCAGGCTGGTCTCATCTTAAACTCACAGAGATCCATCTGCCTCTGCCTCCCGAGTGCTGGGATTAAAGGCGTGCGCCACCAACACCCGGCTAATTAGTTATTTGTGATTGTATAATATGCACACTGCAAAAACTAGAAAGAAAAGAATATAAAATCACCACTATTTCAGGTCCAAATAACCAGAGACATCCGGATTTAAGCACTTCACCGCTAAGGCGATTTTGGCCGACCACTTTCTGTCTCTCTAGACCTGGCATCTGTTTGGCTGTTTCCCGCTGCTGAATGCTATGTAGTTTCTAACTCCTCGCTAGCACAGTGATGAGCATTCTCGTTAAGCCTGACCACTGCACCCCCCTAGCTACTGCGGCCACTCTCCTAGAACCGGGACTATTAGATCAAAGTTGGTAACATACCAGATTCTTCAGGATTTAGAGAAACGTTCCTAAGTTGAACTTTAAAACAGAAAATGTTTGAACGAAAGGCCGTGAGTGTAAGCGTTTCGTCGGGATGGGTCAGGACAGGATGGAACAGGAGTGGGTCAGGTATTCTGGCACTCGGGAGTCACAGAATACCCAGTGTTACACAGCTCAGGTGGAAAGGTATCCTGGAGCTCGGGAGCCAAGGATACTGAGTGTTACACAGCTCAGGTAGAAAGGTATCCTGGAGCTCGGGAGCCAAGGACCACCACAGGTTGCAGTAAGCTTGGCAGCTTACAGCCTTGCCTCAGAGAAAGGCTTCTCCGGTGTATCAGCTCCGCTCCGGCAGGACAGGGTCTTCCAGCTGGGCATGTTCGCCTAGTGTAGCAGTTTTGCTCCGCAGGAGGTTTCTCGGGCGAAGTTGCTACAGTTCAGCTCTGCTCCTGGAGAGCCGAGCGGAGAGCAGGGAGCCGGGCGGGAGCAGAGTGTAACAACTCCGCTCTGCCAAGGAAGGTTTCCCGGGCAAGTGTTACAGCGCTGCTCGCTCTGCTCTGCTCTGCTCTGCCCAGGGTCGCCTCTGCTCGCTCTGCTCTGCTCTGCCCAGGGTCGCCTTTGCTCTGTCGCAGCCGCAAAAGAAGATCTTCACCCGAAGCTCATCCAAAGGTGTTTATTGGAAGACAGCTGGACCAGCCAAGCTGAACATACACAGGGTTTATATAGGGGTTCCTGGGGTTGGGGAAGTTTTTCCAGGGTAGGGATTGGTCCGATTTCAGTGCTGAGCTCAGATTGGCTAGAGCTCTGCTCCGGGATTGGTTACTTTTTACACAGGATTAGGGTCAGATTTGGCTCTGGTTTCAGGGCCAAAGTGTGTTTCTTTCTCTGGTCCTTTTTAGCCTTTTGGCTCCAATTTTAGGGCCAGGGTACATTTCTTTCACTGACTCTGATTCCAGGGACAAAGTGTGTTCCTTTGGCACTGGTTTTAGGGTCAGGGTACATTTCTTTGGTTCTGGTTGCAGGGCCAAAGT